TAATATTGGGATAAGACACAAGTATCTCTTAGACTATAACCGAAATCTCAGAAATACACCTTAACTAAATTAATGTTCTATTACCCCGAACTCATTTTTTGTAATTTTATATAACTTTTTGGCTTACGTGGCATACTCCGTCACTCCATGTAGTTGAGGCGTGTGAGAGATATTTAGATGCCACACAAGCCAAAACGTATACAAAATTACAAAAAAAAAAGGATTCGAAGAGGTAATAGAATTTTAGTTTAATTAAGATGTGTCTATGAAATTTCGATAATAGTCTAAGGATTACTTGTGTCTTATCGTAATACTTTCATTAGCTTTAATCAACTACGAAATGACTTTGTCAATGCACAACGTACAACTCAACCAATGCAACAGTACCATTTTATACTCGCTGTTTATATACACGTTTTCCGTTGGATAACGACACAAAATAGTGTTGACGGCGTCACGTTCTTCTATAAGTTCCTTTCAACACTTCCCACGAGTTGTTTATCTCCCTTTTGTCTCCATTCTAAAAATACAGATATTTTCCGGCGAATTCGAAATCTCTTTATTGGCACCGGAAAATTAGCCGGAGTACTACTGGAGATTACTCCGACGTCGGAGTTTTTCGCTGTTATTTGATTTGATAACTCTACGATTTGCTTATGGATTTTAGTTTTCCCTGCATTTTCTCTCGTTGTTCGTTGAATACGTGAAGAGAACAGAGCAAAGCGGATTATTGCTTTGTGCGCCATTTTTACCGGTGAGTTTCAGATGGTTATCAGCTCCGGTGCGTAGCCATTTGAGGTATGGATTTTCCTAATCCGTCTGTCTAGAGAGTGAGAGCGGATTTTTTTGCTGTTATTGATTTGATTTGATATTGGAACCGTTGATTAAGGATTTTCCCCTGCATTTTCTCGTTTTTTTGAATATGTAAAGAGAATAGAGCAAAAGCAGATTGTTGCTCTCTGTTTAGAGAGTGAGAGCGGATTTTTCGATATTTTCGCTATTATTGATTTGAGTTGATATTGGAACAGTTGATTAAGGATTTTCCCCTGCATTTTCTCATTTTTTTTGAATATGTAAAGAGAATAGAGCAAACACAGATTGTTGCTCTGGACGGCATTTTTACCGGTGAGTTTCAGATGATTATCAGCTCCGGTCAGTAGCCATTTGAGGTATGGATTTTCCTGAGAGTGAGAGCTTTTTTTTTTTTCAATGTTTTCGCTGTTATTTGATTTGATATCTGTACGATTTGCTTAGGATTTCCCCCTGCATTTTCTCGTTTTTCGAATACGTAAAGAGAATAGAGCAAAGCAGATTGTTGCTCCGGACGCCATTTTGCTCGTGATATGATGATTTGAGGTATGGATTTACCGATTACATCTATTTCACTCCATTTGATTATGTGACACTATTGCTATTGAGAGTATGAGCCGATTTTTCGATATTTTCGCTGTTATTGATTTGATTTGGAATTTGAATGGCTTGCTTAAGCATTTTCGCCTGCATTCTCTCTGGTTACTGAATATGTAAGAAGAACGGAGCAGAACAGAATTTTGCTTGTGAACGCCATTTTTATCGGTGAGTTTCAGATGATTATCTAGCTAGCTCCGGCCAGTAGCGGTTTGAGGTATGAATCTTCCAACTCCATCAGTTCCATTTTTGTGTAACTATTGCATTGCTTTTACGTGCACCTCACTATATCTCCCCTTCATTTGTACAAATATTGAGTTAACTTTAAAGAGTGAAATTCCTATTGGAGCTAAGTTTTTTTTTTTCACTAAAAAAAGATTTTAAAATAAAGAAATAAATATCTTTAAAAGCTTTAAAATTCAATGTTTACCATATATATGAATGTAAAATATTTTAATTTTGTACATATTATATAATTATCCGAAGAAAAAGATTCGAATAAACCTCTTTAAACCACAACTCCATTTTGGGTCACTTTGTCAATAGTAGTAGGCAGATAAAAGAGTTAACCTAGTGTTCACCTGCTAGACTTGAATATTACTCCGACTATATTTGGACCACTAAGCCTATGCTATTATTTGACTATAGATTTTCAATTTCCTTTTGAAAAGTCAAATTCGAAGTTAAACATATGTATATTAGTACTAAGATTTCAAAATATTTTTCACATTTTTTTTAAAATGAAATAAAATATAAACAACGACAATAACAAATTCAGTAATCTTATATATTTTAAATATTAGAGACCTTATCTATTGACAACTATTTGCAAATGAATATATAGTTAGTATAAAAATAAAAGTGTACGGAATTGTTGAATATAGAGATTTATTGTCTGTTTGAATATTGAATGGCACCTTTCAAAGGTGGACAATTGCTCATTCATTCCACAAACATCTCCTGCTCTGCTAGTTCTGTTGTTAATACTGCTACTGCATGCGACTGCTACTTAATTCTCTCTCCACAGTGCTAGTAATCCATCTTTATTTGATACTACTATTTTTATACATTTTATCATATGATTTCTAAAAATTTATATAAAGTATTCTTTTGTTTTTATTTAAAGTGGTTATTGAGTTAAATGTTTATAAGAAAAGCCGGAACTAGCATTTTTTGAATAGTAATTAGGCTGGTTTCTGAATTTAACTTTTGTATATTTTGAATGAATTTATTAAGGAGTAGAAACTTGTGTTTGGGAAGATGTTTTCTCTATAGAATATTTTATAGTATTTGGTAAATAAGCAAAAAAATAGTATCTCAAAAGTATTTATATGTAATTTAACAAAATAATATAAGGGTGGGATGGTGTGGGGAGTAGGGCTTCGGTGGGATGGTCACGGGTCAGAGTTGGAGCAATTGGATGGATGTGAAGGAGGCAATTAACTTGAAATGTCACTTGTTTAATTTGTATTCTCTACTTCTATTAAAAAAGTCATTTTCATCATTTTTAAGTAATTTGTATTTTGACTAACAAACATATAGAAATTGAAAAGTATTTTTAAAAAACGTGTTTCTCCGTACCAATCACTCTAAAGTTATTAAGTTCAACCAAACTCGTATGTTGATTTTTAGCTTCACCACCCTTACTCGTGAAAGTAAAACATACTCTCATTTGATAAAACATCAAATATGTAAATGTTTATTATTAGTTTTAATTAATACTTTATCTAAATATGTAATTACTTATTTATAAAATAGTATATTTAAAAATATATTTTTAACACTTAAATATTTATCGACTATTTTTAATTAGCAGACTCAAATGGATTATGAATAGGCGTAGAAACATCGGTTCTCTAGTCTTTACGATCTCAGAAATAAATTCACAAAAAACCTTCTGCTATTCTTTATTCTTTTTTTTTCCCGGGTTTTTGGGCATACTTGCACATTAAAGCAAGTACATAAGGATACCACTTGCGATTTTAAGCGTTCAATATTTAATTATGTCATTTTTCTCCTTTCAAAACCCTAAATCTTGTCCTTTTTTTTTTATTCGAGTTAAAGTATTACGTACTAACAAAAAAAAAAAGGAAAAAGGGCAAATATACTTTCGAACTATCGTAAATGGTATGCTGATATTCTCCGTCATACTTTTGGGACATTGGTGCCCCTGTCGTTCAAAAACTAGAGCATATATGCCCTTCACTCTAACGGAAGACTAAATAGAGATACGTAGCGCAATCTTATCCGTCGATAAATGTCGGATCGGTGGATAAGATTATGACACGTGTACGTCCGTTAATATAAAGGTATATATGCTCTAATATTTTAACGGCATGAGCACCAATGTCCCATAAGTATGACGGAGGGTATTTGCATATCATTTACGATAATTCGGGATATATTTATCCTTTTTCCAAAAAAAAAAAAGGAGTTATTTATTAACTAGATCACTCATAAAATAATGTCAATATTTTTTTCTATAAGGTACAAGAATGTTATATCGGCTTCTTTTTAATGGAAAAAATTATGGTTTCGAAATGGAAGAATATGTCAGTAATTTTTCCTTTTATATATATATATATATATATATATATATATATATATTCTCCTTTTCTAACTAGAATCCTATTTTCCTTGTCTTTCTTGTTAGAATAGCATAGTGGTCCCAATCTTTAAAAATGTCCTTGTACCCCAATTGTATCTAACTTTTAATGATCATTGAAATAATTAACTTGTTGAATTGCTTTTCTTGTTTATTTTAACTTTTTTTATTTTTCATTTTGTAGTTAGTATTCATTTTGAAAATTGATTACTTTGAATTCACACAGAAAAGTCTTATTTTAAAGGCAAAACATTTCTTATAAAAAATGACTTCACTCGAGATCACTGACTAATAATAGACGAGTACTTATCACTCTATCATAACTTTTAATAGTTTTTGTAGTTCATTTAAACCTAAAACTTCATTGGAAGATAATTTGAGTAACTTTTCCTTATATGTATATATATGTTCTCCAATATATTGTCATTTTCTATTTAGAATCCTATTTTCCTCCCTAGTTGTCAGCATAGGGTTATCCTAATTTTTGCAAATGTCCTTGCACCAAATTGTAATGATCAACGAAGCAGTAATAATTAACTTGTTGAACTACTTTTCTACTATATTTTAACTTTATTGGTTTTTCATTCATGTTGGGGTAAATCACTTTATACCAAATATGACTCGCTCAAATTCGAGATATTTGATTAATGATGAACGAATACTTACTTACTTCGCCACAGCCTTTGGTGGTTCTATAGTTTTGACACCCTTTGGATTTAAAAAATCTAATTTTTTTCCAGCTATCATTTGCTATTTAATGTTTTTACCTTAAAAGATAGTGACTGAAAATTAATGCATTATCTCCCAATATCTCGAAATATTGAAAATCACAGCTCTACATTTTTATTAAAGGAAAGTTTTTTTTGTAATTTAAATTTGAAATGAAAGATCTAAACTGATCTTGTTAGCAAAAACCCACAAAATGAATATATCAAAAATCAGTGTTATATGATTGTTTACTTATGTTTCATGATTCATTTGCAGTCAGAAGAAGAAAACAGAATATACAGAGTATAAACAGAGGAACAAAACAGAAGGGAATTAAAAATGTTGACATGCATTACATGTAAGCAAAAAGTTGAAGATGATGGTGGAGAAGAAGAAGGTATTCGTGGTTCTCCCAATACTAAAGATTCTATCAAAAGCCTGACAGCGCAGGTTCTACACCCTCCCCTACTCTATTCTTGCTTGCACTTTATATATATTGGTTGTTTTTGCTTGGCTTATCGAACCACCGTATGCCCATTCCTAGTAGTCGTAGAGAAAGACTAAATATTCCGATGTGGATTGAAAGGAAATTGGGGATGGAGAGAGATCCTTCCGCCTATCCAGAGTGTTGGAAATATAGCAATGTTTTTTGTATTTTTTATTTCCCAATTATTGGAAGCAATCCTCTACTATGATAGAAACCGACAATGAATTTATGAAGGCTTCGAGTAATGTGGGATAGGAATAGAGTTTATGCACATTTTTTGTTAATCCATGAATAAGATCTATACATCTTGATTGGAAAAGATTCTAGAGAAAAAGAAAGAATATGAACTGATCAATAGATTTCTCCAAAAACAAATGAAAGATGAAACATAAATCATGGATCAACTAAGCCCTCTGGATTAGATTGTGCACGTTAACTATTCTATTCGATAACTCTACTCAGCAAGACTTGAGACAAATAAAGAGAACTTATAATGGATCAATGACTGTTAGACTCTACCTACTATTCAGTTCTCTTTATATTATTTCAATTTTTTTAAAATCATTTGCAGATTAAGGATATAGCATTGAAGGTCACTGGTGCTTATAGGTGCAAGTCAAGTAGTATGCCCACCAGCAATTACAAGAAAGAGCATGGACCATATCCATATCCAGAGTCTGGTGCTTATAGGTGCAAGTCAAGTAGTATGCCCACCAGCAATTACAAGAAAGGGCATGGACCATATCCATATCCAGAGTTTGATGCAATCTCTGAGGGAGTTTTATATAATTACCAAACAGGAAGTTCAAATTCTACTCCAGCTTGGGATTTTACAAGTACTGGTCAGTTCCAAACACCAACTAGGACTGATTCTAGATTAAGTGATGTGATGTTGGAAGATGAAGAGGAGGCTAAAGAGTGGACAGCACAAGTGGAGCCTGGAATTCAGATTACTTTTGGTTCTCTCCCTCATGGTGGAAATGATCTTAAAAGAATCAGATTTAGGTATCTATTCATCATCTCCTTTCATTTTACTCCCCTGCGTTTCAATTTGTTTGTCTAGTTTTGACTTGACACGGAGTTTTAAGAAAGTAGATTTGACTTGTTATTTGTCATTTGAAGTCGGGATGTGTTCAACAAATGGCAAGCTCAAAGATGGTGGGGTGAAAATTATGACAGAATTATGGAGCTTTACAATGTTCAGAGATTTAATAAGCATGCTCTTCACACACCCTCACAGTCTGAGGATGGGGTATGGCTGCTCCCTCCGTTTCAATTCGTTTGTCTGGTTTTGACTTGACACGGAATTTAAGGTCTTTTTTCTGCAGAGAGATTCAAATTATTCGTCAAGGCCTGGATCTGCAAGGGAATTCCAACAATATAATGCTGGATTAGGTGCTCATGCCCCTAGTTTCCCAAAGGGTAGTGGGGCATCAAGAACGACGACCTCCTCTAGAGATGAGGCTTCAGTTTCTGTAAGTAATGCTAGTGATATGGAGTCAGAATGGATAGAACAAGATGAACCTGGAGTGTGTATAACTATCAGACAATTAGCTGATGGAACTAGAGAGCTACGTCGAGTCAGATTCAGGTAACTAACAACTATTTTATTTCGTTCTAACGTGCCATATAAGATGAAGCATAGGAAACCTGGTGTAAACATTCCTAGTGTCTGGTACGAGGGAAGTCATTTCTACTACTCTTTTTCCGAGAGTCTGGACAAGTTCATGTGTTGATAGTGCAATTTCAACTGGCATTTCTCTAACTTTTTCTTCATTTACTCAGTCGCGAAAAATTTGGAGAGGTGAACGCTAAGCAGTGGTGGGAGCAGAACTGGGAGAGAATACAAGCACAATACCTTTAGAATCATGTATTCCATATTAAATTATCAGCATTTTCCACGACTTATAAGGGTACTCAAACTGGAACATTTTGCCATCTTCAAAGCGAAGTTAACATCATCTATGATAAGGGTGACGGAGGTGGAGCAAAGATTTTAACTTTATGAGTTCTAAATTCTAAAATAGCAACATCAGGTGTTTTGTAATGTGGCTCGGAGCTAAGTTTTTGTACACATATAGTAGATTTGGATTCGGTTGTACCCTTACGTAACCTTCTAGCTCCGCCCCTGTGGGGTGAGGCCCCAAGGGGGGGCAGAGACACATTTTGATCCTTTCAGTTTCCTACTTCGATATGGATCTCCAAATTTCAAATTTTCTAAGTATCAAAACTAGTAACTATCTATCTAAATGATAGACTGACTATCACCAATTAGGATTCTCAACAAATATGTAATCCTCAATATATTTATTAGCTCCATGGATAAAAGGACATTATTCATTTCGTTTGATAATCAACTATACTCGATATTACAACATCGAAAGTTGCAGCACATAACATGATAAAGTGCTACTCAAGAGGGGAAAGAAGTATAGGTTAAATACATGGGTATATATTGCTCAGTATGGTATCCAGTGAGCACCAACCCTATCGCGCGGAATCAGCCGCAGTTCAGAACCATGCTTAAGAAAAACATTACCTGAAAAGCCATTTGAGTTGATATAAAGTTAGAAAACTAGATAAACAAATATTGTGGCAAAAAGAGACAGAATTTATAAAGTTATACTTCCAAAGTACATGCAATTGTAACTATAGGTGATATGCGCTGCATCAGTAAGCAAATACGAACTTTGGTCCGACAACATAAGGATACATCGGCCTCTAGAAGTCTAGTTTATGTCAAGCAATAGTCAATTGAACTCGTCTCCACTTTCCAATAACGCTAAAAACTTGCACTCCACATTACTTGGTAGTAGACATATGCAAATGGGGAAAAGAAAAAGCTAAATCAGAACCTACTAAGTATTACCGTAAATGCAAACACAAAACAGGACCAGACCTTAAACAACTCAGGCACAGAACTCTTCTAAATGACGACATGGATTTTCAATTCAGATTTCCATTGCACTCCAAATATCCAAAAACAAATCCTACTTCTGAATATCTGCTTGTCATACAAATCAACCTCAGATTTATACTATATTTTCTCTGTACTTCACAACCTTTGAAAGAAGTGTCAAGCACACGACTGGGAATCATGTTGCTTCTTAGTTGGCAAAGACTGGTAAATCCTCACCAATATTTTGAAAATGTAAAACAACATTTTGGAAGTGTAGTGGCACGATGTAGAGCCCATAGATGATAGAAAGGACTAGAATCTGATTTTGCCTTCTGAAAGTTTTTAAAGAAGGCAGTTAATGTCCGATTCCTCATATCAAGATTATAGGTGACTTGATGGGGAAAACACTAGAGGATTAGAGCGCTGGGAATGCATCAAATGTTCTAAAAAGATTTGCAAAACTTGAGAGTGTCAGACTATGATGGAGAAAGAAGAATCCTTTGCACTAATTTATGCACTGTGGAAGTCAAAAACTGAAACTTCCCCAAGTGGATCGAGGTGCTATCAATCGTCAATCAATAGGAAAAGTAAGGTCATTGCGATAACGATGGAGCTTCTTGGTAAATATTACAACAAAAAGAAAACAGGAAAAATAAATAACTACCACACACATCCATTCATAAGCACAGATCCAGAAAGTTACAACATAACCTGAAGAAACAAGAACTAAGATCATGGGAAGATGAAATGTGTAACAGTGGCAAAGAGGCAGTAGTAGATTGTTATCTGGCAACCCAGAAAGTAATCTAGGTTGGTGCACAAAGTTCATGACTGTATATACCTTTAGGTCAGACGCATACAGATACAACACATTGAGCTATGTATGATGAACACACAAAGGTCACTAAGAAAATGCAAATGCTCGGGAAACCAACACATCATAATCTGAGAAAGGGGTTCAAGATGACAACTTCGTGATGAGAAGTTTATTGTAGCACTTCTCATTATAAACTTAGATTATTCGAATTGACCCTATTGATTCTTGACTAGTTTCTACTTTCTACTCCTTATCACTGTTCATCAACACTCCGAAACCGAACTTTGTAACAACTCATTGACTGTCATAAACTTCCGACATAGATTTGGTCAATGATCTACTAAAGAGCTCATATATAATTCTTTAAGCAATCCATGGGTACATAACATTATTTAATGCACTGAATTTTGTTCACATGTATCCCAATTCACAGATTGTTTATCATCCATAAATAAAAAATAAACTATCATGAAGTACATACAGGAGGTAACTTTAAACAAAAATGTAAAGTGTAAAGTTACCAGCACTTTGTTGCGGATTAATACCCACTCCATCTGCAAAATAAGATAAAAAGGACAAAGAAATAGTGTCAAAACAAGACATACATTTAGTAAAAGCACATGCTTTTTTTTTCAAATTGCTTTATTTCCTATTTCTCATTAGACTAACGAATAAGAAAACATAGTCAAAATAAACCAAATATATCGTTCTCTTCACCACAATAAGGATGCTATCTTTTTTTCTCAATCACCATAAACGATTATCTTAATCATGAATCATTTGCTTTCACTAAGGTGAATTACATAATGTTCATTTTCTCAATCACCATAATCAATTTTCTTAAACATGAACTATTTGCTTTCACTGAGGTGAATTACATTAATCATCTACATGATTATAAGCGAAACCAAAGGCGGAGCCACGATTTGACCTTTACATCTGAAATCAAGTTGTAGGTGTTAATTTAACTTATGAACATATTAAGTGGATTTCTCAACTACTTTGATTTGATGCACTTGAACCAAGGATCTTTCGGAAAGAGCCTCTCTACCTCCACAACCGTACTACCCTCCCCTAGACACCACTTGTGAAATTTCCCTAGGCATGTTGTTGATGTATTGAGTAAATTTCTTAATACAAATAGGTAACCTTCTAGCTCCGCCTCGAAGCGAAACTACCACCCAGCTGGATCAAACTAGTTTTATTACTGCTCCTGATTTGATTCTAGCAATTTCATCCAATTCTATTTCAATATAACTAATTCAACAAATAAACAAAAATTAACTACAGTACATGTAATCAATGATTCTACAGCAACTTCAGCCAAAAAATAAATACACAAACGTCTAAAATAGAAGGAAATATACCATTAGTGATAATGGCGCTAGTTTGTGGAGGTACTTTGAATTCTTCGGCAGCAAATTTCAGCACAGCAGTAAACGGAGCAGCTTCCGGAACGCTAAAACTGAAGAAAAAAAACACAGATAAGTTGTAAAATCAAAGAGAAAAAGAGAATTTCAGAAATCTAAAAAATATACATACACTTTGAAAGGCAATTTGGGATCGGAAGTGAGAGTGACTTTGAAGGAAACTTTTCCTCCTCCACCAGTAGCACCGCCGCCGGTCGCCATTTTTTCCTATCGGAGTTACGACGGAGAAAATCGTTACGGAATTGGATTTATGGGCGTAGAAAATAAGCAAAAGTTTCTGCACAGCTTACCACGTTGCTCTTATTATTGTGTTCTAATATAATTCTAATCTTAAGATAATTAGTTTGACACTTGACATTTAAAAAGAGGTCAAACCACATTTTGTTATTCTACAAATTGTTATTATTCGAGTCCACTTTTGCACAACTCGATTAATTTTATGAGATATTTGTCAACTCCCACCAGAAATAAGTATGAGGTAACCACTAAGGTTAGGACAGATGAGAAAAGGGTCTTATTTGCATGTTTACCGTCGAAAATAAGTTATACTCCCTTCGTCCATCTTTACTTATCCATGTTTGACTTGACACATTTCTTAAAAAATAATATAAAAAAAGAGTAATTTTACTATGTTACTCCTTTTAGTTACAAGTCATTAGTTAATGAAAAATAAATAGTATTTAATAGCAAGGGTAAAATAAACATAAGATTATAAATTATCTCTTGATTTTTTAAATTAGACGAATAAATTTTGACAATGATTTTTAGTATACCAAACAAGTAAAAATAGACAGAGGTTGTATTTGTGTTTTGTTAAATATTTTTAATCACTTGTAGAACCAAGACAAAACACTAAAGTGCAAGAATGCTTGTGGTTGGTGCAGAAGTGAGGTTACAAGTCATTACAAAAAAGGAAATTTGAAGTATTTTGGGTCTATTATTTAAAGAAATAGGGAGATTGACGATGATGACACATATTGTGTAAGTATATGGGGATGAAATGAAAGCTCGCAGTTGGAGTCTTATACAATAAGAATGTGTCATCAAAACTTAAAGACAAGTTTATAGAGTGGTGGTTAGATCAATCATGTTGTATGGAGTGAAGTGTTGGTCAGTCAAGAGCTCTAATGTTCAGAAGATGAGAATGCTAAGATGAATATGTGGCATACTAGAAAAAATAAAATTTAAGAATGGCGATATCCGTAACAAGGTAGCGTGTGACACCGATAAAGGACACAATAGGAGAATCAAAAGAGATGCAAGGATGCCATATATGAAGGTGTGACATGTTGGATATGGATAATTTCAAGAGAGGTAAAGGTAGACCGAAGGATAGAATGATGTACACATATGAATGTTTTTGAGCAAGGTGCAATCAATCAACTTATGTGCATGGTTCATTTGATTTTAGTCACCTTGTTTCTAAATGATTTTATTTTTGTGAAATTTTAACATTAAAATGAAACAATTAATAACCAATATCATAATAACTCTATAACAATTAAATAAGTATATAAATCAATAACTTATAAGTCAAATCAATAAACGTCAAAATTGAACCAATCAATACACAACCCTATTATACATGCCACAATTTTTGGCATCCTTTCTCATTTTCGTCTCTCAACTCAAAAGTAAAAAAAAAATTACTAAAAAGGTCATTATTGAATATTGACAAATGCTAAAACAATAAAATAAAAAAATTCATCTTTCAAGTCTCCTAGGCTAAAATTGATAAACCCGGCCCACATTGAGTTTAGCAGATCACAAAAAAGCCCAATTGAAGACAGCTTCTAAACCTAATTCCCTTCTATAAAAGCCCATCTCCTTCTTCTCCAAAATCATCTAGGGTTTAGCTCCTCATTCTCTTTCCGGCGCCGATTCAGTGGCCGCCATTGTAGAATTGTGTAGTTTTAGTTTTCATATATCAACTGTATTTGTATATTTTGCACTTCGCATTTCTATAAGCTTCGCTAAATTTTCAAAATAGTGCAGTTTACAGCGATTAGTGCATAAAGGAAAAGCTGAATTTATCAGCGGCGGCCAGACAACCGTTGAGATGAATCCACAGATTGGTTCCGTTTTTGCTCCTGTCTACTAATTTCATCTCACATTTTGCTTTAATTATTTTTGTTGTTTTTTCACTTTGATGGTACACTTTTGAAATTGGGGCGAGTTTTTCAGTACTCGTATAATCCAAAGTATATATATCATCATAGAATAAGCCGTCTTTGTTGATGTAGCAGTTGATTTTTTCTGTTTTCCTTCTGGAAGATAGAAGGATCCTGCGTTTTAATCCGAAGATGGAGATCTCATATCCTATTGCCTTGTAGAGCGGAATCTCTGCTATTACTATTTGGGATTGACCATGAGAAATACATTCATTTCAACTATTTTTTATATGTTTTGCCTGTGATGAAATCTATTATAAAGAACACCATCTTTCGGGACTGAATGGCCCTTACGGCCTTGTTGTCAATTCTGCAATTCTGAGGCCTTCATCAATGATTATCTATTAGATTTTTGCTTGAACTATGTGTAAATGTTTTTGTGATTGAGATGGAATTGATGATTTTTTCCCCAGATGATCGAAGCTGAAATTACTGAGCGCTTTTTATGTATTTTCTCCTTATAGGGGAAAATTCAAGCCAGATATTCTGATCCATCTCCATTTTTTTTCTTCAATCTTCAAAAATGTGTCTTTTCAGAGTTTCTTATGAATTTTGACTGAATTTGTTTATGGATTTGATGAATATTTCCCCAGATGATCGAAGCTGAAATAACTGAGCGCTTTTAATGTATTTTCTCCTCTTTAGGGGAAAATCCAAGCCAGATATTCTGATCCATAACTTTTAATTTCAATTGTTTTCTAAGTTTTGAATTTCAGTATTTTTAGGTTCTTAACTGAATTTTGTTGTATGGAGGTGATGATTATTTCCCCAGATGATCGAAGCTGAAATTACTGAGCGCTTATTCATGTATTTTCTCCGTTCAGGGGAAAATCCAAGCCAGATATTCTGATCCATATACTTGCATTGTATGATTATATATGTTTGTTGAAATGCGTCGATATACTGATTACCATCGATGTTTATATACAATGATCGCTGTGTATGAGCCGACGCGATATGTATATTCCATTTCTGTTTCATAATTTGTTTCATTTAGCTCTTTAAAGAGCTGTTTGAAACAGATTTGGAGATATTTTCATTGTTTAATTGATTGAAGTAGGAGATGGAAGTGATGATTTTTTCCCCAGATGATCGAAGCTGAAATTACTGAGCGCTTTTTATGTATTTTCTCTTAATAAGGGATAATTCAAGCCAGATATTCTGATCCGTCTCTGTTTATATGATAAAAAATATATGATGTTTTAGAGATGTAATAGTTGATTCTTACTATACTTATGGATTCAATCATTTGAGATCAATAAATTTCACATTTTGTTTTATACTTCCTGTATTTATTTCATTTTGATGGTACACTATTGTAATTGGGGCGAGTTTATTCAGTACTAGTATAACCCAAAGTATCTATATCATCATATAATAATCTGTCTTTGTTGATTTAGCAGTTGATTTTTTCTGTCTTCCTTCCGGAAGATAGAAGAATCCTGTGTTTTAATCCGAAGATGGAGATCTCATATCCTATTGCCTTGTGGAGCGGAATCTCTGCAATTACTATTTGGGATTGACCATGAGATATACATTCATTTCAACTAATTTTTATATGTTTGGCTTGTTATGTGATATATTATAAAGATTACCGTTTTTGTCAGTTCTGCAATTCTGAGTCCTCCGTCAATGAGTATCTGTTTGTTTTTCTCATGTAAACTTTGTTAGCAAAATTGATTTTTTTGTGATTGAGATTGAAGTGATGAATATTTCCCCAGATGATCGAAGCTGAAATTACTGAGCGCTTTATATGTATCTTCTTTTAGGGGAAGATCCAAGCCAGATATTCTGATCTGTCTCTGTTTATATGAAAAAGTTTTGATCTTGTTGTTTTGAACTAAATTGATTGATTATTGTTGAATTTGTGTGTATGGATATGATGATCATTTCCCCAGATGATCGAAGCTGAAATAACTGAGCGCTTTTACTGTATTTTCTCCTTTTAGGGGAAAATCCAAGCCAGATATTCTGATCCATTTACCAATTTATGTTCTGCTTTTGCTAAGTTCTGTTCTTTCTTATTGCATTTCAGTGCTATTATGTCATTTTTGTACAATTTGTGATGGTTTACATTGATTTGGGACAAGTTAATTGTGTATTGTATGACTCATAAAGCGAAATCATTGCACAATGTTCTATCCTTTGTTGATGTATAAAGTGTTGGGATATATTTTTTCTTAAAATAAATTATTTGATTGAATTATGGTGTGCAAGGATGATGAAGAAATCATTCGGATTCCCACTGATGTATATACGTGATTACTACAACCAGCTACTTCTGACTTCACATCATTTCTCTTTGAGACCTGAATTTTCAATTTTGATGACAACTACAAGCCATTATTCTGAGGTTTTAATGTTTGTATTATGTTTTAGAGATGTAATAGTTGTTTCTTACTCAATCAATTTCTGTCTTCAACTTGTCTTATATATTTAGTGTTCTGTATTATTTTGTAGGCGATTCCATTTCTGATAAGAGTGCTATGAATCTTTGAAACCGGTCATTTGAATGTAGTACAGACTGGGCGACAATGCTATATGCACTTTCAGGGAGCAGAACATGGTTGCGGACAGGCTTAGCAGGGAAAGCCTCCACTGTTTTCAAATAGAGTAGTATAGACAGTTTGTGAACTATGTACTGAAGGAAGTTTTGAATTTTTTGTTACAGTTCTGAAAACTACTTTATATGATGCCTCACAATTTACATTGGTACTCTATTTTGACTCTATGCAAAGCTAAAGACTGGTGTGTGCGCAATTTTGTATCTTGTGAAGCTAAAAAAATTATTCAAAATATATGAAAGTGCATCTTTTCATAATTTATATTGTATAAACATTTAACTTTTTAGGATAAAAGGATGTTGAGGTTTGTTTAAATTTCATGTAACAAGGATTCTTTAATAATTGTAGGTGTTAGTTACCAAAGTCGTTAGTCCCCTTCCAATTAGATGCAGATATGGGTGATATGATATAAACCATTATTTACAAAATATATGCAAGCATTTACAGAACATGTGAGAGAAAAGGCCCAAATTAGTCTCGGTTAAATTCTAAAGTCTTCCTTGAATTTTCACATGGAACATTAATAGTCCCTTATGTTTGCAATATTGGTGTACTTTTGGTCCTCCTCCAAAAGTTCTTCCCCTTGTTTTGTTTAGTAGAAATCATATTGCAGGTAAAGTCGAAAGGTTCATCACGACGATTTCTTGTGCAATAGCACAATTTTTTTTTTTGTGCAACGTCATATGTTAAGATGTTTTTAGCTTAGCTGCAGTAATATTTCCACTGAGCAGAACAAGGTGTTCTTCTTCTCACCTTCTCACATATGGTTATTATTTCTACTAAATATATAAAAAGACGATTGGACATTCCTTACATAAAATTGTGAACAAAATTAATGTTAAAAAATAGGCAAAAATTTAGGAGAGGACCAAAAGTGCACCAATATTGTAAACATGAAGGACTATTAGTGTTCCATGTGAAAACTCAAGGATGACTTATTATCACGTGATGGATGGATACTAGGCATCTCTGGTGAGAGAATGCAAAACCATGCTTGTTGATTTGAGTCGAGGTAACTTTTGATCGAGGACTATTCGTTTTAAGTGTTTGCAGCAAACAAAATACGAGAACATAAGGTGTCAGGTTATATCTATCTCTGCTCCTTGATCGAACAAAAGCCGTTCAGAAGCCACTAATGCAAAGCATGAAAACATTGACAGCTTTGGGTGGGATAAGCAGATATTGGTGGCACAAAGAACCAACTTAGATCTAACTAAACAAGTTCTTGCAATGGCCTGCTTTATACAAAAACTCTCGACTCTGCAACAGTCCAAATAGGCACTAAAGAGCTATAGAAATTTGAATAACATGATAATACTCATACAGTTTGTCCATATGTCGATAAAACTATAGAATATTTCAGACGAAAAAAAACAACTTAGAAAATAGATTGCCTCTGTGAAGCTTTCTTCCCAAGGATTGCCTCCCAAACCACTGGCAAAAATGGCCCTTTCTTGTCCAAATATTCCCGAACTGCCTTATCGTCAACGATGAAGCCTTTTTGCCTCACCGTTTTAATCATGTTTTGGGCATCTTCAAGACTTTTCTCCTTGCAAAATCCATCAACCAAAGTCACAAACGTCACCACGTTGGGGGAATGTCCAGCTTCCAACATTTCTAAGCAAAACTCAAGGGCATCATCTAATCTCTTGCCCTGACTGAGCCCGCGGATTAAGATACCGTAACTAAAAGCATTAGGAATGATGCCATTACCTTGCATTTTACGGAAAATCCTCACAGCATCATCAAATTTTTGGGCTTTAAAAAAGCCATCTACCACGGCAGTGTAGATAACAACTTCAGGTATTGTACCCTTTTCACGCATCAGGCCAAAGAGCTTCATCGCTTCCTGTACCAAGCCGTCCTTGCAAAGCCCATCAAGCATTGCTACAGCATTTGGTATTAGGCCAGTTTCTTTCATTTTCTTGAATATCTCATCAGCATCTTCTGGTGGAGCTGGAGGTGCCTCCGAAACAGGAGAGTCGCTACTTTCACCTTTGGGGTGGAGTGCAGGGTTCGTGTTTGGGTTTTCCTCTTTACGATCAAATCCAAGCTGAAATCTTTTCAGAAAATCTTCACTATCCTGTGACTTCATTTGACCTCCATTGTTCTCACCGGATCTTCTAAGAGTTGTAGAATGGGTGGGGTTGTTGCTGGAATCAGCTCTTAAGGGCCTTCTGAAATCATCTCTTAAGGGCCTTCTGGAATCATCTCTTAAGGGCCTTTTGGAATCACCTCTTAAGGGCCTATTCGGTATAGGATCAGGAGGAGGAGGATAGTTGGACTGAGTGAATTCATCAGAGTAATTGCTGTTTGAGCTGCTAAATGAGCGTATTTTTGTTGAAGGAAGTATCTCATTTACATTTACCTTAGGACAACAGAGACTGCTGTAATATTTCCAATAAATGCTAATACCCTTCTGTCTCACTAATGTTGTTCTCATAATGCTTATATACTCGTTTTGAAACAATGCAGGCTAGTTTTTCAAGGCAGCAAAGATGGCTTTATCCTGAAGATCAATAAAATAGAATTTCAGCTCAAAAAGTCTTTTATACAGTGCATTCAAAGACAGCATAGCACTCTTATGCACTTTCTTTTACTTCTCACCCACAGAGAGCAGTGTCATAAAAAATTGGATAGAAGATTTAACTACACGTAATGAGAGTATAAAAATGATGCTACCGACAATAATAGAATACAAGAGCACGTGAAGCAGCAGTGGAAGATAAGACAGTAATAGTAAAGGTGTCAGAAATCAAAGGCTAAGACAGAAAATAAGCAATACAGCAGCTAAGGGCAAAACATCAGTCAGCTATGTGCCAAGAACAGATAAGTTCACACAGTGTCAGAAATGAAAACAAGAACTTTTCGTTCCATTTTTAAAACTACAACTGACTAGTATACACTTCATAAACCAACCGATCAACTACAACTCAGTTAGCTACACAAATCCATTCTACTCTGTTTGAACTTATTTCATTCCAATACATATAATGTGTCTTCTAATCTCTCATGCTCATTTTAATGAATTAATGATTGCTACAAAGCTATCCGTTTCAATTTCGTTAGCTTGTCTTCCCTTTAAACCTGACCCCAGTTAGTAGTGCTCTATTCTTTAATTTAGATAGTTGTTATCTTTTCCCTTTTGCTTCACAAACTAATTTTTTGACTTATAAATATAATTTATTTTTTCATATTATGTTTTGGCCCTATTTTGTTGCTCTTATACAGCGTATACAGTGAGTGTATATCTCATGTATATGGCTGTATACAGCGTGTATACAACTCTTCTCTTGAACACCTGTATATCAACTTTCGGGGAACTATTCTTCAATTCCATTTGCTGGCTGACTCAATGAAAGCAAATTTGGGCCTCTATGGCCCAATCGGAATGAAAAGAGGAATGTTGTGGAGTTCGAAGAACTCACCCAGGGTCACATGAAGATAGAGAGAAATGGATTAGCCTCTACTGATAAAGATAAAATTTATAAATAATCTAAGTAAATCACTTAGAAAAAGCAAGGCAGATCAACACACTTGAACAGCAACTATAAGTCATATAACACAATTTTTTACTCCCAGATTCAAGGGTTAATAACTTCCCCTTCCCCCAAAAGACACAAGTTCTAGCAAGTTAGGCACAAATGAGCTACTGGAAGACAAAATAAAAGCACTAATTCCAACATTTCAAAGAAAATTTAAAGCATTCAAGTAACACAATAACCTAACAACAATAATTCATCTAACTTGAATTTGAAAAAAACATAAAAGCAGTGCTTTACATACATTTCATAGGACTAACAGAACCCCTGGAAACAGAACTTCTATTCAACCAAATACACAAATTATCATCTGCTTCTTCGTACTCTTATGCTGAAACATTCCGCCTCTCTCTTCCCGAGAGGCAATTCCCACACCCCTAATAGATAAGGGGGAGTGGGTGGGAGTCTGGGAGAAGTCCATTGCATTCACTAAACATTACTCTCTCAGTCCCACTTTGTGTGGCACTTTTAAACAAAGGGAGGGTAGCTCAAGCGGAAAACACCCTCCACCTCCAACTTTGAAGTTGGGGGGTTCGAGTCACCAAGGGAGCAAAGTAGAGAGGGATACTGTTAACTCCTAGGGAGAACAGTCGGGGCTGGTATATGTTAGGCTACCATATAAAAGAAACTGTTCACCACTTTTGCTTATCAAGAATCAAATCGACTAATTCTCCGAGCTAAACGGGACAAAATTAATTTATTTTTTCAAGGATTCTAACTCAAATATTAGTTGCAATCCTCCTCACATCAAAATGGCAAAAAAATATACAACATTTCAAAATAATGGTTGAGTTCACTTAAGCTTGTATCTCAAAAAGCCAAAAGATCCATCCGTGATAGGTTAATACTAATCTTGAAACTGGCAAATTATTTCTCCTAGTTACTAAATACACCAAAGTATATCAAATTCTCAAACATTGGAACACTTGAAATAATTAGGAATTCCAATTCATTTGTTAAATATAGAAGAAAAAAAAAAACTACAAATTCTACCTTCTTCTTAAAACCAGAAATTTATCAATACACATTAATATTTCTTCTTCGTGCGTTATAAAAAAAAACAAATTAATTCATTCTTTTCACTCGTTACAAAAACAGCCTGAACGATCACATTTTTTCTTCTTCTTCAGATCAGTTTTCAGAAATAGAAGCAAAAATAGAGAAAAATTGTTACGAGTTCACATACCTAGAACTAGAAGGGATTGAACGGCGGCGAGCGACACAGCCGGCGGCAGCAAAGGCTCACTCAACACTCCGTAGCAGCGAGTTAAAACACAATTCGGCTGTAAGTGGGGGCGTGACTATTTAATTAATGTTCCTTTCGTTCCAAAATAAGTGTCCCGTCATTTCAAAATATATTTTTTAACTTGGTTTTGTACTTCTCGATTTTGAATGCGCATAAGTATATATTTTAAATTTTAACTTGGTAAAAATAAAAATATAATTAATTGCTAATACCATATTGGATAATACTTTGATAAATTATATCGAAAATTTAAGATTCAAAAATCTATTTTTTCCTTATCAATAATCCGACAACTTCACACAATAACACCAAAAGTTTGATCTTGTTAACTTCAATAAAAAATGCCTAAAAATAGTTTCAAATTGGCTAAACTTGCAATCTTTTAAGTTAAAATTGGCTATCTTTGCAATTTCGTCCCCTAAAGAGTAATGGGCCTATTAGAAGCCCAAAAAACTGTTTCGTCTAGGGTTTCTCACATAAAAGCAAACCTAATTGTTTCAAAAGCCTCAAAGGAGAAAGAACTTCAGCTTTGCTTGCTTTCTCGGTGAGTTTTCAGTTAGATTTGGTAATGTTTTGTTATTTTATCGTTTAATTTTGGGTATGAAATTGTTTGTGCAGTTTGAATTTGCTTTCTAATGAGCTTATTGTTATCAAAATGAGTGAATAAGTGTTGTTTTCCGGTAGACGTTTGTTTTTAGATTTGAGGCAGGAGATATGGTGAGGGGAAGTGTTGAGAGGGTTCTACGAAACTGTAAAATGAATTTTCTGGGATATATTGATTGACATGTTGTTATTGGTTTGTGTTTATTTAGGAGTTAGGTGTTTTTCCTAGATGATGTTGATGATTGATTAGTTTAAATGGTTATGGTTATAGTTAGATGTAAGTTCAGTTAGTGAACCATTGAGTGAGTTCGTAAATTTGAGTTCCGGAGGTGATAGGTGTACAGTGTGCGAAAGCTGGCCTGGACACCACGGTTATTGAAAATTATCTTTGATGGAAATTTGGGTTCAATTGGACAGTGAGGGCAGGGTGGAATGGGTGTTGCTTTCTGAGGGGTGGAATGCACTTGAGAGTTGCTTTTGCCTATGTAGTTAATTATGTTTTGTTTGGCCTATCTAGTTGGACTGCCTATTTTACTAAGATGTGTTTGTTCCGATCCTCTCAAGATATCCACTACGGTTTCATTTTGCTCTAGAAATGATGTCTTCTATTGAAATTGATATTGTCTGTATGGTGTGGTATGCTATATTGATGTATGGGTGGAGATAAAGGAAGGTGTTAAATACTGTTATAGCGCAATGTTCATCTTTATTTGTGTTTTTGGTTCTGTAAAATGAAATGGTATTCAGTGTCTTGGAAGTTAATGGAAGTGCAACTTTTACATGGATAAAATGTAGTGGAAGAAATGCTCAGGAATTACTGCTACCCCAGTGTCCTTTGAACTTATTTGTATTCATTTAGATAAAATCATAAAATTGAACTTATTCTTGAAACTTTTCATGCTGTTTGAATCATAACTACTGGATGCTTCTTGTTGTTTATTTTAGTATAAGTTCTTAAAATGCTTACCATATTATTCCTGAATTATTTCTTGTTTTTTGAATCATAATGTTTTCATATGCTTTCTCGCCTCCTAGGGCAGCCTCAAATTGCTTTTCGATTTTCATAGAGACCCACTTCTTTAATTAAAAAACTGTGTTCCGTTGCATGTTGCGTTGGTGCTTTGTTATCCTCGTCATATATTTCCTAAGGTGTTTCCAATTCTTAGTAACTTAATTCCATGTTTCAGCATACACAGGTAAACCATGAAGCATAACAATGTTATCCCCAACGGCCACTTTAAGAAGCATTGGCAAAACTATGTAAGGACATGGTTTAACCAACCTGCTCGCAAAACAAGGAGACGCGCTGGTGAGTTTCCCCTTTTTTTGATGGCTTTAAGCCTCAAATTCAACTTTGGCTCAAGAATACTTACACTTCCTGACCTGTTTTGCTTTTGCCAACTCCAGCAAGGCAGAAGAAAGCTGCAACAATCTTCCCTAGGCCAACAGCAGGATCACTCAGACCTATTGTTCATGGACAAACACTAAAATACAACATGAAAGTCAGAGCTGGCAGGGGATTCTCTCTAGAAGAGCTGAAAGTAAGATTTTTCTGTCTAATCTTGCTCTAGATTGTCGTAAAAAGCAACCACCTACTAGACACGTTTGGCTCAATTGAGATTCGTTTCCCTGTTGGGATCTATGTTTGACGCTGAGCTTCTATTAGAGTTTGGCATGTTGAGCTTATATAGAGTTTGGTTCTTGCGCAAGCAAGTTCACATGCCAAAAGCTTTTTTGTTGTCTATTCCTTTTTGAGTGGGGCAGACTCCATTTTACACCTCTATCTAAGTTGCAACTATAGAATTTGAAGTTGATCACATCATTTTCTTTTTATTTTTTAGACATGATCTGCCAAAATATATCTTGCTAAGGAAGTCCTCCTTACCATGTACTTGTATCGAGAGATTCCAGTATATCAAGCAGCTTTTTTTGTTTTGTTTTCAGGCAGCTGGTATCCCCAAAAAACTTGCTCCAACTATCGGCATTGCTGTGGATCACAGGCGCAGGAACAGATCCCTAGAAGGTCTCCAGACCAATGTCCAGAGGCTCAAG